TATTAAGGTATATATAAGATTGTATTGCACTTATACATGTTAACTATATCGTAAGAGATCGAGGGAAAGCGTTTAAAAAAAGACTATTAAGTTTTTTTTTTATGATATTTATCTCTCATTTGATTTTGCTGGTGAATTATCCGTGTTTCATTCGGAAGTTTTGACCAAAATTTGGAAGGAAGGATCAAGTATCCTCACACTACCTCTATATATTAGTAACATATATATAATTCTCACATTTTTTTCATATGGTTATTTAAAAATTACAAAATGATGACCTGAATATTTTAGTTATATTTCTGGGGGTGAAATGCTTGTTGGGAACTTGTGATTTTACTGTTATTGATATAGTTATGGAAATATGTGTGCTTTGATTGAATTTTACCCTCAGAATATATATTAGCCTAATTACATCAGATACCTGGCTTCATCTAGTTTGGTAATGTATCCAAGGAAATCACTTTCCAAGTGGAAAGACAAATAATCGTTTAGATGTGCTTATCGGGTGGAGATTAAAGCCACACGAAAACCTTCCTTGTAGATTTATGATGGGAACAAGCCTCTATGTATATGCATATATAGAGTCAATCAAAATCTTGTTTCCTATTTTTTTGGCCACACAAAATCTTGTTTCCTAAGTGAGCATATGCACGCACTCTTGAATGGAGCGTGGAATCAATTTATTTAATGATGTGATAACATATTTTTGTTTATTGACGTCTAGAACATGAGGAAACCCCATCCCTTTCCTAATTAACTTCAACACATACAGAGAACACATGTATATTGAGACAAGCATGTATATAGTCTCAAGCAAATAGTTTGAGAAGTTATTGATGTGCTGCTGGTAAGCTGAAAAAGGGCTGCTTCACGAGGTTTTACATCACAAGTCATGATTATCAATGTTAATATTTTTACTGAACAATTCTTTTTCAACGTGCACGATTCCCCTGGACGTGCGAGAAGTTACTCATTCATCATCCAGTGATGACGACCTCATTGTCCCAAATTTGGAAGCTTTTGGCCCTGACGGTGATCAAGAAGTAACCCAACCGTTAGTAAATAATGATCAGAATGCAGAAGGCACCCATCAGGCCCCAAATCAGCCAGCAGCAGTATGCATCTGAGCATTTCGATGTTTTTCATGAATATATATAAGTTGAACATATTATTGATTGTCAATTTTACATCACACTAAGCTTTGATTTAATTGTGTGTGTGTGTGTGTGTGTGTGTCTATTCATTTTACAGAATGAACAAAATGTGATCCCTCCCGACCCTCGGCGTCATATAGGGGTGAACATTTGCAAGGAATGCGACGGAACTAAGTATCTGGGAAAAGTTGTCGGGTACAACGATCGGAGAAGATGGTTCAGAGTAAGAAGTTGTCATATGCGAAATACTTTATTGCAATAATATTAAGCTGTTCATCTTCCTGCTCTCTTACAATTAATCAAGTCGTTGGTTTGTTTAATCGATGGATGAAGGTTGAGTACAGTGAGGAAGAGTTCGAAGATATGGATGAAGAGTCCGTCCTAAGACTTAGGGCAAAGCAAAGCGACATCATCGCTGCTCAGGCTCAAGCCTCAGGGTGTGTGTGTATATATATATATATATATTAGTACAGCAGAGCAGCGAACTTATTGACATCATAAATTAGATACTGATTACTTGTTAGAATCCAGTTCTGCCACACATCAATTTTACATGCCTATATGTTGTAGTTGGATGGGCTAATTTGTTGAATTTTGTAGCGGTATATTTATTAATTACTAAATAAGCGTTTATATGCGTATACTTGTGCATGTACACATAGTTCGGGCTCAACAAGGATGAACCATGCGGGTGGTCCAGGGAAGAAAGCAGCTTCAAGAAAGAGAAGCAGGAAGGATAAGAATAGTTATGTCCCTCTGGCCTTGAGGGAGACCAAGAAAGATGCCTATTATTTCTATTAATTAGCTGGACCATGCACCTGCTTTTAGCTAGGTTCGTATTCTTCCACTTCTTAATTAAGCATTGTGAAAGTCTAGCATGGTGTTCCGATCCGATATATATGTGTGTGCGCGCTTAATAATGGGGTTGTTCACTTGCTATCAGGTCCAGGCTGGGGAGATCATGCAGGTAGTAGCAGAAAGTTACTTAAATCGCGAAATTGACATATAGTCTCAAAGAACCTCTGTGCGCGCGCGTGTTTGTCATTGGCTCTCTGAACTGAATACCATCGTTTGTGTTGGAGACTTAAGTTGTTCTATTTAGGTGTGTGGCTCTGGATTGGCACTGGCTTCTCAAGCTCGGCTTGTCTCTGTTTCGTGATTTATTGTCCGTCTCTTAAGCAGCTAGACATGCAACCTTTCAATAATATACATTAATTTCTTGGCCTTTATCTGTGTGTGAGTGTTTTGTTGGTTTTGAAAGAATTATTAATTATTTGATGATTACAAGAAAGAGAGAAGTGGGTGTGGATAGATGAGGCATACATGAACTAAAATAGGGAGATGGTGTCATTTTGCCAGGCGACGTACGTGGTTAACATGAAATATTAATGGCAACACACAGACGGAGGTGCAAGTTTAAGCGTCAATTTTTTTTTAGTATTTACTCCTTTTTTTCCTCAGCATGTTTAGTCTTTTTTTAAATCGTATAAGTTACATTAAAAAAATTGATAGTCTTTTTTATAGATATTATATATATATAATATAATTATTGTTGCAATTGGCCAAAAAAGAAGAAGAAGAAGAAGCCAATGCTGGATGCCACCGTATTTTTTAACATTATATAAGAAAAGGGGCAAGGGGACTAGGCAAGGCTCTGATCAAAATATTAAAAATCAAATCAGAAGTTAAGAGTTAAGGGTTGAATTGAAATTAAATCAATCATAATAAAATAATATATATTTTTATTATGTAATGAATAATAAATATTTTGTGAAAAAAATAATGCAAATCTATAAGATACAATATATAAATATTTTTTCCCTTATCTACTTGTACTTATGTATTTCTAGCTTGAAAAATATAACCATCCTTTCTCATTTTTCAGTGTGTAGCAGTGTAGCAAACATCAGACAATCATCTCAACTTTTTGAATTTTCCTCACGCATTGGGTTACACGGTTATCATTTGGTCTTCATTTTCTTCTTTCTTCATTTGCATCTCTCTTCTTCTCTCCTCAAAACTTCAGGGACGAGGATGACAGCAAACAAGACCCTCCAAACTTGAAGAATGGACGACGCCACGGAAAGGCACGGGAAGAAGCTCAACTGCTCGTGTCGAGGAAGAGATCTGAGAGGCAAGAGCAAAGAACAAATTGAGAGGGTGGGCGGAGGAAGAAGAACAAAAGAAGGCAAGAACAAGACTCAAGATGCGAAAAGATCAGAATTCCAACGAGACACGAGAGACTAAATGATTCATCCAGGGCTTTTTTCTTTCATTGTTTTTTTTTTTTTATAATCTAACCCCAAAATCGATGTGGGATGGGCCTTTGGAAGTTAGATTTTTTCCAAAAAAAAAAAAAGTCAATCCGGTCAACCCATCTGACTTTAAGGATTGGCGAGGTTATTAGGGTTAATCTTAAGTCACCTAAGTTAACTCAGATCAACCAAATTCAGGTTGGGCAAGAAAATCAGACCAGACAAGTGGTTGAATTGTCAATTTTAAAAACCATGACTCTAATATAAGAAAAATTTCAATTAAAGATTTAGGAAAAGATTTAATTTCAGGTATGTTTAAAAATATTTTAAAATTTTAATTTAATTTAGAGGAAAAAAATTAAAAAAATCTTGATTTTGAAAAGGTCAAAATAATATCCTTCACATATTATATAAGAGCATTAGTTGTTAATTTTTTATTGCACTTATTAATTTACTAATATTACTTATAAATTATATTCATTTGTTAGACAGTTGGCAACGTTAATTGTTAATTTGTTAATTTTACTTACTAATTTACTAACATTAGTTATAAATTATAAGATCTATTAATAATTCACAATTAATATTAATAAATTATAAGACCTGTTAAGAATTTATAATTAATATCAGTAAATTAATGAGTATATTTAATAATTTAACAGCTAATATTGCTGCTTATAATTAAAAAATTGATATTACAAATTTTATATAATTATAAACATACCAACTCATATAATGTGTAACTCACATTCATAAATTAATAAGTGAAATAAAAAATTAATAATTAATAATTTTATATAACGGGTTAAAAGTATTTTGATATTTTCATTATCAAAATTATTTTAACCTTTTTTTAACAAAATTAAAATTTTAAAATATTTTTAAATCTATGTAAAATTAAATCCCTCTTCATATTGTTCATTTAAATTCTCCCATGTAAAGATCTCAATCTGATCCTCAATTCTTTTCCCTGACAAATCAAAATGATAGTAAATTGATGACAGTGGAGGTGTCACAATCTCTATTCAAAAAAAAAAAAAGAAATTATAAAGTTATTATATTTTTAGAGACATCGAGGATGATGAATAAATTTTTAAGAGAATTCAGGACGTTCGAGAAGAATTTAGTATATTCTAGAAGTATCTAAAACAATATAGAATAATTTAGAAAAATTTAAAAATTTTTAAAAGGTTCTATAAATTTATAAAGGAATGTGTAGATATTTAAAGTATTTTAGGATATTCTAGAATATTTCACACATAGTTTGAAGGTTAGTCTTTAAAAATATCTTTGTAATTATCTAAATATTTTAGAGGATGAATGTAAATTATAGGATTAGATTAATCTCCATCATCCATTAAGAAGGTAAGAATTTTTTTAAAAAAAGGATAGGCTTATAAATAGTCTCACAATCCCTCATTTATAAATAACAAAAAAAAAATTAAAGTTTCAAACTTTTAAATTTTTTCATTCAAACTCTCTTTTTTTGTTTTATGTTTGAGTTTTCTAATTTTTTTTTGCCTACATTCTGATTTAGCCATTTAAGAGATTAATTAAGTTAAAGCCGACATGCTTAAAAAATTGGGAAATTCCAAAGGCGTGACAGGGAGCTCTGCTTGCTCCGAGCAAATCGGGCAGTCTGCTGAACGCTTCCGAAGATACGAGACAATAAGTGATTAAAGGAAGTTCCCGGGAGGTCAATGAATAGTGATTTTTCTGTCAATCCCAATCTGAAGCCAGAACCAATCAATCAAAGTATCAATTAGTAGTGAATTTCAGACTTAATCATGCAGAGTCAGTCATTTGAGGGAGGAAAAAAATCGCCCACCTAATAGCCGCTGCCCAATGCGGCGTGGTGATCAATTACTCTGCCGATCCCAGCAAACCTAGAAATGGACACCCACTCGACTCACCCGGCCGGAACCATTCGCTCCCGTAGCTCCCAGTCCCCTTCTCCCTCTCATTCTGCCTCCGCCTCCGCTACTTCTACCATCCACAAGCGCAAGATGGCCTCTGATGATCACGCTCCTCCCTTCCCCCCCTCTTCCTTCTCCGCCGACACCCGAGACGGCGCTCTGACCTCCAATGATGACCTCGAGAGCATTTCCGCCCGCGGCGCTGATTCCGACTCCGACGATGAGTCCGAGGATGCCGTTGTTGACGACGACGAGGAGGATTACGACAATGACTCCTCCATGCGCACCTTCACCGCCGCAAGGCTTGAAAACCCCTCCTCAGCCCCTCGGAATACCAAGCTCCAAAAGGATAATACGACGGTCAAGATGGAGAATTCGGACGGTGCGAAAGACGCTGCCACTGCTGGGACTGCTACGGTGGGAACCATTCCCACCTCCACCTCGGTTCCGGGCATTATGGTTAAGGAGGACGCCACCAAGATTTTTACTGATAATTTGCAGACGAGTGGGGCATACTGTGCAAGGGAGGAGAGTCTCAGGAGAGAGGTAAAGCACTTCTTAGTCCATGGATACAAGCAAAATTTCCAATGTGTTTGAGAAAGTTTTCAAACCCCATCATAAGCCAATATAATGTGCATTCTAATTTTAGTATCAGCAATTCCTTTCCGTTTCTGGATTAAATTTTTAATTTCTTACCGGTCAATTACTCTGTGGAGGAAGTAATTTGTTGCATGTGTGACAGGAAGTGTTCTGATTCTGCCTAATCCGATTGTTTCATATTTTCCTCTCGTTTTCCCCCATTTCGCGTTGTTTAAGTTATTCAAGATTCCTTGTTATGACGATTTGGTAATTTGGAGTCTTTCAGGAAGAAGCAGGGAAGCTGAAATTCGTATGTCTTTCAAATGATGGCGTTGATGAGCATATGGTTTGGTATTTATTCTTCTTTTCTTAGAACATCCAAGTACCAGCTGGCTGGAGCAGATCCAGCGTTTTTTCTAATTCACTGTGAACATTGGTAATAATGATCTTTATTCTTACTTCTGCTGTTGACTGGTTAGGTTGATAGGATTGAAGAATATTTTTGCTAGACAACTTCCCAATATGCCCAAGGAATACATTGTCCGACTTGTTATGGATAGGTAATTTCCAATAATCTTTTAAATTGTAAGTACTAGAACATATCCAGAGGGCTTTTTTGATAGATAAGTTCTGAAATCATTTTTTTTCCAGGTTATTAGTCTTGACTTGAGATTGTGTTTAATTGCTTGCAATTGTAAATGCTTTCACGTTGGATTTGCAGGAGCCATAAGTCTGTGATGGTCATAAGAAGTAACAAAGTTGTTGGAGGAATTACATATCGCCCATATGTAAAGTAATAATTCATGTCCATATCTTCATAATATTCTTTTTCGTCATGTTCCTGCTGTATTACCTCATTTTGTTATTGGTTCTTGTGTAAAGGGAAAATAAGAGGTTGTCTGACTTTTCATTATTACTGTTAAGATGTGATTAGAGTTAGCTTTTATTTGTTTATTTGTTATCTTTCTCTCTTACCTATATATATGCTACTATTGTTTCCCCTGCCTTTTCTCTATAAAGTAGTCCTTTTTTTTTTTTTCCTTTTTGGTTGGCCAAAACCTATATTGTGATCTCCCTTGCAATAGATAAAAGCAATCATTTTATTTACTGATACTCTTGTGGCTTGTCATTTGTAGCCAAAAGTTCGGTGAGATAGCCTTTTGTGCAATAACAGCTGATGAGCAAGTAAAAGGTTATGGCACCAGACTGATGAATCACTTGAAACAGTATGCTCGTGATGAGGATGGATTGACACACTTTCTCACATATGCTGATAATAATGCTGTTGGCTATTTTATCAAGCAGGTCTAGTTATTAATATTTAAGATCCTTGTTAGGCGGTATCGTTTTTTTTTTTTTTTTTGGATAAGCCAATTAGGTGATATATTTGATGCTTTTGGACATCATCTTTACTGATTGTTCCTCTTTTGATCAGCCAAAGATGAAAGAGGAATATCTGGACATCATTAGTTGGTATTAGAATTATTAATAATGGGATAACCCCTTTGTTTAAACCCCAACCTTCCATCCTTTATCAGAATTTGTACTATTATGGAACTAAGCCATTGCAAATGGTGTCCCAAATACAGAGGAGGAAAAAATCACCAGGTGTTGGTATCCATCCCTATCCAATTGGTCTAATTTTTAGCATTTGAGAGGACTGTTTTTGGGGAAAAGGGAGCGGGGCATAGGGTTGGCGTGTTTTTGGTTCAGCTAACGGGTGCAATTTTGGATTTGGCATTGATTTTTGTTTATTTTCCTTCAGGGCTTCACCAAAGAGATTCACTTGGAGAAAGATCGATGGCAAGGGTAATTCCCTCCCCCTTCTTGTCTGAAATCTGGCAGCAGTTCTTCCCATGGCTGTTTCTAACGAGAAGTGAAATAATTATTTCTTTTTAACTTTATTTGTCACTTTAATTTGTTGGGGCGTAGAGTTATGAAGCCAAATTGCTAGGGCTTTTTGCTTTTTAATCAAGTTCCTTGTTTGTGAGCAACAAAAAAAGTGATTTCATATTTCACTATCTGGGGCGATCAGCAAAGCTAATTGTCATTTCAGGTATATAAAGGATTATGATGGAGGAATTCTCATGGAATGCAAGATTGATCCAAAGCTCCCATACACTGATTTATCAACTATGATTCGTCGTCAGAGGCAGGTAACGTTGTTCCCATTTGCCAATTTGTTAAGATTTACTTTCATAATGATTTAAATTAATAAGTTTAGATGAGACGTCATCAATTTTCTTTCATTGAAATTTGAGCATATACCTGTCAGTAAAGAATGGAAGTTTTAAACTTTGAAATCATTTCACCTTAGTTTGAACTTTTCTTTCCCATATAATGGATCTCTTTTAATTTTCAAAGGCCTGTTCATTAACACACACAAACACATGGAAAAATGGGTGAGGAGGAAGTTGTCAAATACGATACAACTGAAGAGTCTGGACAAGAAGAGGCCTCAACAAGGTAGACGTGCATCTACTCCCTCCAGGCCGTTGGATGCAAATCCCTGACCCATCTGTGATGAGCATAAAATGAGGCTTGATGACGGGCAGTTGAATTGATATTGGCAATATGATTTTGCTCCCTGGAGCTGGAGGCATATTATAGTCCATGCTTTGATGCCTTGTAATTGGTCAATTAGCATGTGAGTGTAATTATAACCAAAGAATTAAAGATGAAGTGTCATTGCATGCATATTTGAGTATATTTTGGTGCACAGTGGAGTGCAGAATTAAAATGAAGAAGGTTGGACAGTCATTAAATTAAGTCTCTTAACCTGATTTAGGGGGGCTGCTTGCATTATTCTCGTTTCTATATAATGTGTAGCATCTGCTGGCCTTATTAATTATCTTCTTTACCACCTGATGTGTGCAGGCTTTTCAGGTATTTTTCTCTCTATCTATTAGAATAATCATTATTGGTTTTACAATTATAGGCTATTGATGAAAAGATAAGAGAGTTGTCAAACTGTCACATTGTTTATCCCGGATTTGATTTTCAGAAGGTATCCAACATTATCTATTCTCTTCTTCCTTTTTATTTATTTATTTATTTATGCTTCCACTCATTCATGATTTGCATTAAAAGGTTTCTCTTTATTATATAAGTTATTGATTAATTTGGATTGTATTATGAGCTCAAAATAGATTATGTCTGACATGTTTCCAATAGTTCATAATTTGTGCAAGTCTGCCACTTTCCTTGGATATGTGATATAAGTGAGAAAACTACCTGGCATTTCTGCCTAACTTGCATGTGCTTTTCTCTTTTCTTTTCCACATATTACCATTAATGGAGAAACATATGGCTTTTGGAGTACTAATTTTTTATTCCCCCTAATCAACACATCATGCAGAAAGAAGCTGGTATTCCTAAAAAATCGATCAAAGTTGAGGATATCCCTGGTTTGAGTAAGTACCAAATTCCCAATCTCAGTCTATCTTACCAATGTTCTTTAGTTGAGGTGCCTCTGGGTTAAATTATGCATTCCCAATCCCTACTTTGAAACCTATAGTCTTTTTGTTAAAATTTTATCTTTATAAGTATACTGGTCATTGTCTGGTTGTTATAGAGTCTGCATGTGAAGTTGTGTTTCCTGTTATTCATGACATATGAAATTGAGATCTGTTTGTAAACCGAGATGTCAGATTCTGATCCACCATGTTAATTCTGTATTCGGGTGACCCTATGCATGGCACTTAACTTCTTACTAGTTTACTTGGCATCGAGGGGGTGTTATCATCTAACTTTGCTTGTACCAAATACTGGTCATTTTTCTAGTTTATAGAGAGATCCATATAAAGGTCGGTTTTTCCTGTTCCCGTGGACTCAAGCAAGAAAGTATTCTGTTTACTTGTCTAGGAATTCAGGTATTGTTTAGAACTGATTAGATGTTTGCGGTCAATGCAATTCCAGGAGAGGCTGGATGGACTGCTGATCAGTGGGGTCATTCCCGATTTAGAAGTAGTTTATGTGTTTCTACAGACAGCGCTACAAATCAAAAACATTTGACTGCATTTATGCGATCACTTCTAAAGGCAAGTTTGTTGGCTGCTTGATTACCTTGAATTTAAATTTTCTCGTTGATCTTCATCTGCATCTTGGGTATATCAATTTCTCATTTTCCTTTCGATTGTTTCCTTTTTCACCGGATATTATCTCCTTTACAGTCAATGCACGACCATGCTGATGCCTGGCCATTCAGAGAACCAGTTGATGCCCGGGATGTTCCTGATTATTATGACATCATCAAAGATCCAATGGGTGAGAACTACCATATCCATATCGTCTTTCTTTAGTTTTACCTCGTGTTTTTACTTTCTTGAAGCATGGTAACTGCTTCGCTTCAGCTATAACATTAATAATCTACCCGTAAAATCTCTCCTGTGGAACTTTTTTGACATATCAAGCTTGAATTAGTTGTCTATTTTTCTGTTGTTTCTCATATGGTTCACAATATGAGGCTCTCTTTTTAATCTTTGTTGCAAATAGTTTATGTTGAATATAACCTAGAAGGTTAATAGTCATTATAAAGGGTCTCATCTTTAATATACATGTAATGTGGGTGCAGATCTGAAGACAATGTCAAAGAGGGTGGAGTCTGAGCAATATTATGTTACGTTAGAGATGTTCGTTGCAGATGCCAGCAGAATGTTCGCCAATGCACGAACCTATAACTCTCCAGAGACGATTTATTATAAATGCGCTGCCAGGCACGATGCTACAGTCAACTGTTCTTATATGCAGAATAATGAAATAAATAAACAGAAATAATTGTTGTTAGATAGTTTATAACGATTGTAGGCTTCGTAGTTGGTTGTGGAGTGGAGTGGAGTTGAGTTGGAGATATCAACTTTGGTTTTTCTGACTTTTCGGTATATGTGCATTGCAGGCTGGAAGCCCATTTTCGGAGCAAAGTCCAATCTGGTGTACAGTCGGGCACCAAAATTCAGTAGGAACACCTAAATGCGTTTTAACATGGATCCCTCTCCCTCCCCTTCAGTGGCTAAAGGAATTTGAATCTTCTCCATTATTTCTATGTATGTTGTAAAATCTTTAATTTAATTTTTTGTGAAACGTGTTAACTTTTTTGTGCAGTTGAGATTGATTTTATTTTAACATAATAGTAAAAACAATTTCGTTGATATGGACTTCTAACAACTGTGAAATAACTTTTTTGGAAAGAGGATATAACTATATATTATGTGAATATGATTTTGTTGGAAGAAGAAAATTTAATATAAGTTAATATAATCTAATCAATTTTTAAGGGAGAAAGAAGTAATGAATGAGTGCTGATATGAAATTAATCACCCCGGCCATTTGCATCCACTAAATTCTTGCATATTCCATCTTGGTAGCCAGAAAATATCTTCACGTTTTCAATAACAGCCCTTTTTAGAAAATAGAGGAATTTTTACAGTCTGATTTTGACAGTGGGGGCGTTCGACTTTGAACTGTTTTAGTTTATTTAAATTATCTACGTTTTATATATGATGAATAATTTCGACAAAAATTAAATTAAATAAGTGAATATATGTTTTTGACTGAAGAAAAATAATCAGTATCATAATATAATATATTACATCATTTATGAATACTATATAATCAATACTAATATCATTAATGTATTATTATCAATATATATAATAAATACATACTCTTCGGACAAAAAAACTGTTTTTAGAGGCTCGAATCAATGCATACTTGAGACTGGAATCAATGCATACTTGATGCTCCTACTATATATATAATTTATAAAAGGTTAACCAATCATCTCAATATCGTCTTAAGTAATTGACGTAGTAATCAATACATACCCTTTGGCCAAGGGGGAGAGAGAGAGCGCGGCATTTTCTGCAGCTGTCGTTTGTTTTTACCTTCGACTGGAATTTAACTAGAGGTTAGGGCTTGAAATTTTTGGTGATTTCTCCACTTATTGGTGCTTGTCGTCGTGAGTCGTTACCGGCTACCGTCTTCCCCGAAGACTAGCAATAAACGCACGGAACGTTTTCGAGCTCCCATACCTTCTCCCTCTCATCATCCATCCTCCCCACCCATTAGATCTGTCGAAAATTAACTGTCAACATTGTTGCCCATCTCAAAACTCGAACGCAATCATACTGGCTAATCCAATCGGTTCATTTTGATTGCGTTCACTTCGTTCCTGTACTCTGAACTCAAATATTTGGTGAGCTTTAGTTATTGATGTGCTCAATTTGTTATTATTTTCTTATTATCAAAAGCCGTATTTGAATATGTGACCTACTGATTAGAAGCGATCACTAATGAGGTTTCAATGTTGTAGATATTTTTGTGTTTTTTGCTTGGTGTAGCATAATCGGTTAAGCATTTAGACAGTTGAGGCTTCAGCATTGTTTTTAGATTGATTCGGAGTCTGTTTCTTTCCTATTTAGTGTTTCTCCCCTAATTTTTATGCACTTCACCCATAATTCATAAGACTTGGCGGTCCTTTGGGCGTTAAATTGGAATCAAATGTCCTTTAATTATTGATTGTATCTATCAATTTTTTTCCGGTTTATCTGGAGATACTGGGTAAATGAATGCGTGCTAGGATTGCCGTAAGTTGTATGGCTCCTTTCGAGTAGTTGTTTATTCCGTTAGCATCTGCTGCCAGACAGCTTTCTTGTTTACCTCATTATTTGGTTTAGTGATTATTCTCTGGAATAGTAAAAATTTGAGCTCGTTCTAAATTATTGGTGTTGATCCTAGGAGAAATGCTTTAAAACGATGAACGATGTCTCTTGGTTTTGTCCATATCACCGTATGTCTACTGGGACCTTAAATAAATATATAGCTAAAGAATAGGATCTAACATCCGGCTTTGTCCTTAGGCTACTCCCCTGTTTTCCTTGTTAACTAGTTGCACATGACTTCTTTCTTTAAATGGTGCGCCACTGCATTTTCTTGGGTTAAATCACTTGTTAGCCAATGCTTCTCTCATCATTTTTGCGCTTTTTTTGTTTGAAGTCGCATCAAATGGCAAACAGAGTTCAAATTCCATCAAGAAATTCAGCACTCATTGCGATGATTGCAGATGAGGTAAGAATGCCATGCTTTTATCTGATGCTTTTTGTGTGCGTGCTTTCCCCCCCACTTCTGTGGGGTTGTCTTGTAGATTATAAATGTGATCTGTTTGTGGGACAGCATAGACGTGTTTCCGGCAAGTGTACCTCTGTATCTGTACATGTTTGTTACTTATGAAGCTTTAAATGATAATTTCGTGTTCCCTCTCCCCATCTGTTAGTGCGTAATTTTGTATGATTTGGGTCTCTGAGAGCAATCTGTTGCAATGCTGCGATGTAAACAGGCACTCGGATCACATTTGATACTTGGAAAGGGAATGGAAATTGGAATGAGAAAGGGAAATGGGCCTTCCATCGAACCAATTTTCATGTTTTGTTATGGAAGGAAAAAATAAAAATACTTGAATGTAAAAAAAATTAAAAAACAAGTGAATGACACAAATATCCTTTTGTGAAAAAAAGTGATAATCAGTCTTAATCTATAAAGAGTATTGTTATTTTTGTCCTTAAAATTACGGTTTTCAAGGGAAGTGGCATTTTCTTCCCATATTTGATGAGAAATCTTTCGAATAGGACTCTTGTGGCCTATCAAGTACACCAAGAGGGATTTTCTTTGTATTTTCCTTTCTTAAAACTCTGTTCTTTCATACTAAACATGCCCTAGGATGTTTGAGATTTTATTTGTTATGGGTATGCAAATCATCATGCGCCATCCAAGGCTAGTCAATAAATTAGTAGCGTGCACTTTAGTGTCTCGATCTCCATTGTACTGTTCTGCTTGTAATTAAATTGAATTTCACAGGACACAGTAGTTGGATTTCTGCTGGCTGGAGTGGGCAATGTTGACTTGCGTAGGAAGACAAATTACCTAATTATCGACTCAAGTATGTCATTAAACTTCAATTCTTTAATCTTATAATATGATAGTTATTATTGCTAAAGGAAAAATACAATCATTGGTCTCTATAGTTTTATCAGGTTTTGCTTTTAGTCTTAGTAATTTATTTTTAGTGTTTTCAGTTCTTATATTTCCTGTAATTTAGCTTTGTTAGGGACTTGAGGAACAAACGTTACCAAATCTTACTGAAACTATAGGAACTGAAAATACTGAAAAACCTATAGGAACTAAAACAAAACCAGATAAAACTATAGGAATTAATGATTGTGTTTTCCCATTTCTAAATAATGTGTACTGTTTATAGTGGCTACCTGTCATCTTAAATGTTGTTTTAGATTATCATATATCTAGTACATGGATATTGTGACTGCTTTTGAAATATGTTGAGGGCATCAACAGTGAAATTCCTGCTATTAACCTTGGAGAAATTCCCAATACAAGACCCTTTTACCCTTTGCTTCAAATTCAGTAACAAAAGTCAATTTGATAACATCAATATTTTGATATGTAAAACACGCAGCAACTTACTGACTTCTATTGGTAATATATATATATATATATCCACGCGCGTGTGTATGTGAGTTATATAACCTTTTAATATACCGGGTACTGTAAGGTATGTAGAAACAACTGTTATTCTAGACGTGCTCCTTTAATAGTGTTGGCACTACGGTATTTTTATGATTTATCTCTGCTTGTTTTTAGAAACGACTGTCAAGCAAATTGAAGATGCTTTCAAAGAGTTCACAACAAGGGAAGATATCGCAATTGTGCTGATTAGCCAATATGTAAGTATATTTGCAACTTGAGACTAATTCATTATTTGCAAGTACCTAAGACTGTTGTACATATATATGCAAATCTAGTTAAAACCAGCAATTGCCCCTCTTGGAAGTGAACATGATCCGCATATTTCTGAAGATCCTAACTGTATGATAGCTCATCCTGCATGTTGATCAGATTTACCTGTATAGAGATTCTGCCAAAACCTGTCTTACATGATAGTAGACACAGCAAAGTCAGATTTAATTGGGTCACCTAGAGTTTTGATAATTCTCCAGTGCTAGGTCTTGGCGCATTCTTGCTCATCTAACTTTTGGGGTTTGTACTGAATCTTTCCTCTTTAGTGCAATTTCCGTATATAAGCAGCTCTTTTTATGAACTTATTCAGTATTCACGCACAAACACATATCATGTGTTGGATCATCTGTTGTTTTCGTTGGTTTTCTAGAGCAACATAAATATTTATCTTCCTCTGAATAATTGGCTTTATTCAACTTTTTGTTAAAAAAAAGAAAAAAGGAAAGAAAACCAAGTAACTTCACCATACATGAACTCCAGAGGATCTATCTGCATCTCTCGAACCACTGATCATTGCCTTCATTGATGAATAATGCTTAGTCGGAGGATGCCCCCTTCTTCCCACCTCCACCCTCCCACACAACCCCCCCCCCCAAAAAAAAAAGAAAGAAAATTCTTTCCTTGAAATTGATTTGCGAATCCTCTGGCCTTCGTTCATGAACTTTAAATTATGCATGTTTAATTGAAGACCTCATTCTATAACCTTCATTATCCAGGTTGCAAATATGATAAGGTTTTTAGTTGATAGCTACGACAAGCCTGTTCCTGCAATACTTGAGATTCCTTCCAAAGACCATCCTTATGATCCTGCGCATGATTCTGTCCTTTCACGAGTGAAGTACCTCTTTTCTGCTGAATCTGTGGCATCTGGCAGACGTTGAATGCTTCCTCGAAGCTTGTTTTATTTCGCATTGCCCCTTTTATTGCATGTTGAACATCCCCACCAAAAAAAATCTCCTCGGCTGGACTGTAACCTGAATAATCTTGCTTTTGTGGGTTTTTGTCCTTTTTGCATAAATTAGCGTGATGCATTTGCATTGCTAGTTTCATAAAGAAATAAGATTCATGGTTTGTAATCGTATATAGATAATAAACTGTTTGTGGTTTATATATATATATATATATATGTAATGACCATAACTGAACGAGATTTGAGTATTTTCAGATCTAATTAGATGTAACTGTTTGAAAAGTATTGTTTACATTCATAGACTTAAATCCAATACCTTGTGCTTCAATAGCTATGATCCCTTCTACGCTGCTCAATTGTGGTTTTTTGCTTGAACTCGAAAAGGCATGCTAGGGGAATTAATTCTCAACATACGCTAGGCCATTTGTTGA